ATAGAGAGGAATAGTAGTAGGCGTAGCCCAAAACATTCTATATTTTTAAGAAATACTGATAATTACTAGGTCAATATCAAACCGCGGATTATCTACCCACGTGCCCATCCCTACTTGGACGCTTGATCAAGGGCTCGGCCGATATCGGATCTCGGATCGCCCGAGCCACCTAATGAAACTTGAAACGAAGCCGTCTCCGCACGACCACAACAACCAAGCTATAACCCCTTCAACTTCCCTCCTGATCCTCTGAGCCGCCTAACCTGAATCTGGCGTCGCCGCCTCAAGACCAGCGAGCTCCCTATGTTCCCTATTCTTCGTCGTTCCATCGCATGCAACTAGAGCCTGCGCCGCTGTCCCTTGCCTTCCTAATGGCCGCCAGCCCCTATGTTGTTGCCCTCCGACCACTCCACATCTGATCGCGCTCGCCCTACCAGTGATACACAGCTTTAAATCAATCATCTCCATCCTTGCTTTAGTTGGCGAAATCAATCATTGGCTATTCTAATCAAGTGGAGTTGAATTGCAAAGATCTGTCATTACTAATTTCCTCTCAGCTTCATATTGAACAGAATAAAAATTCACCTTCTCGCCTAATATATTATACACCAATAGATGCTGCAGAAGAAGAATGGAGGAAGGAACAGAGAATAAACATATTTCTCGAAGTGAAACCCCTTCTCAGAAAGTGGCTTTCTTTCTGCACAATTTTAACTTAAATCCTCTACGTAAAATTATCAATTGATATTCAAAATGATTTTAGTACCTATTTCATATATATACTATTTTATAATTGTTTGTGTCTAAGGGTAGCAGTGAGACACGGGATTTATGGTGTGCGAGTGAAGTAGAAGATAAAACGCCTTTATACTTGACACTTTTCAAGGTTACATGGGAAGAGACTAGAGAGGGAGGGCGAGACTCTAGAGAGTGGAGTTTCTTGTTTATGATAATCAAGAATCGATCCCCCTACCCACCGGGGTAAATGCTTTGTTTATAGGCTACATTCTGGTGGATGGCTTTCTAATGTGACATGCCATTTGGAAGAGAAAGAAAACTAGGGTATGATGAAGTCTACAAGTGAGACGTGACGATTTTTCAGTGGAATATTGTCGTCTTCTGCTCCTTACTCGCGGGTAGTGTTGTTGCACGGACATTGCTTCTCTGGGTGACTAGCGTGATTCACCCCACCAATCTATGAGCGGGTTATGCTCTTCGTGCGAGGCCGTTCTTGGGCACGCCTTGTCTGGGTACTCGTGGATGATGTTTTTCGCGAGTATGAGGGTTTGGCCGTGCCTTGCCTTGGTATTTCCTGTCTTTCTCAGGGTGATGAGTGTGTGATTGCTGGCGTAGCCGGACCCGAGTCATGCCCCCAACAACTGCCCCCCCCCCCCCAGCAGGGGGTATTCCGCGAATACCTCCTGGTGTGTCTGTGAGTCTGTGATGGCTTGGGTCAGGGCTTCTTTGCGACACCCGTGGTGGTTGTCTCGGCTGGTAACAGGCAGGTCGCACTCGTTTGTGTGTGCTGGAGGTTTACTTTGCATGCGTTTTTCCATCCCGCGGGTATATCCTGCCCGCCAGGCGGTGCATAGACATAGTGGGTGTCACCACCTTATACCTGCTAACCGTCATTCGACTATTGTCCATGTGGCCCTTCTCTGTTTGCTTGTTTGGGCGGTTAATTTTTTATTTTTTAATTTTGAAAAAGCTTATTTGACACTTGCAATTCCATATGTGTATTTGCGCGTTTGATCTCTCTTTCTTCTTGCTATAAACAGTTGTCTTCACATTTTAGAAGAACACCTTCTACTTTCCAAACTCTCTGCTCCCTTCTATGATCTCTCTGTGACCGTAGGTTTTCCAGCGACATCGTCGTACGACGTCGACGTTGACCATAATCTTCTTCACGGTTCTTCTGAAGGAGGTTGGTGGTAGGACCAGGGAAGCGGGTCAAGTTCGGGTGCGCGAGGAGTTTTAATCATTCGCCGCGATCTCGCGAGTAGTTCCCAGCTTGTCGCTGCCGCTCTGGTGGAGATTTTGGACACAAAGTTTGATCTTTCTCGCGAGCAGCCTCCAGCTTGAGTCCCACGCGTTTCGGAGGCGATGAGTCAACTTGAGCCTCATTACATCAACGCCCAGTACACAATCATGGAGTGGGCATAGATGTTTGATACTGTGCCTAGCGATAGCTTGTTGTGCGGTCCGGATCATGTATCTGTATTTGGGCGGAAGGAGCTGGCAGAGCCTGTATGCGGGTTAGGCTTGCCTCCCTCTTGGAAGTATGCGGTGCCATAAGAGCGGAGACGCATTGGGAATTGCCCCCTGGGTGGTTCTCGATATATTCCAAATTCTGGCGGATGGGGTTTAAATTCCCCGTGGATCCTCTGTTGTGCGCCCTGCTGCGGCGATTGAATTGTTCTATCTCGCGGTTGTCTCTTTTCGTGATGATGCACGTATCAATGCTTTGCCTTATTTGTAAGTGGTATTCAGCCAACATATGGTGTATTTCGCAAGTTTTACAAGATGAAGGAGCCCACTGAGAAGAGCAAGAGCGACTGCTTGTCGTTGAAGCGCCGCAACAAAATACCATATGGGTATGTGTACGAGTCTCCAAAGCTTGAAAGAAACTGGTTCAAGCGGTTCTTTTTTGTGAAACCTGCTCTCAGTGACTGGGTGAGCGAATAAGTGGACGAGTACGACATGTTACTTGAAGAAAATATTGATCTGAATTGTAAGGAGTCTACGCGACTCGACTGGCGGAGTTATTTAACAATGGTTATTTGTCTACCATTGTCTTTGCACTTTGTAATATTAACGACCTTCTTACGACTTATTATTGCAGGTGTTGATTACTCGACTGTCGTGAGCATGATGTCCATGGATGAGGTTGTGAAACCTCACGGCGAGAAGAAAAGGAAAGAGGTGGAATAAGGTTTCTCGAACAGCGGGGAAGACGCCGACTAAACCCGCTGAGAAGGATATTTGGGAGAACAAGCCGCCACGACCGGATAAGGCGGTCATTGGCAGCCCTTATGGGCATACTGTTCAACAGACACAGCCCGATATCCTTGGGTTCGAGACAATCGTTCCCACGCATTTTTGGGACGTGCGACTGCATTCTGGCGCCGCTTCTTCCCTTAGTGTCTCGCAGAGTGCCTTGCACTGAGTGAGTCCAGTGTTGAACATTCCTTCGCGAATGGAGAACAACGACCCGCTCCAATACCTTGCTAAAACCCACTTTGCTGTAAGTGTCCTTCTGTGTTACTTGGGAGATTGTTTAGTTTTTAGTTTCTTGCCAGGTATTTGGCGGGTTTTGGTTATAGGGTTTGTTGGCCATCTTTCGCGCTCAGCATGAGACGGCCAATGACACCGCCACCTTGAAGACAGAGCTAAATAAGAGCGTTCAGCTCAAGGACAAAGTGGCGAGTGTTGAGGGTCGTGCGGATGATTCGACCAAAAAGGCTAACGAGGCGATTGAGCGGTTGGTATTGTTGCAGAGTAAGTTGACGGAAGAAATCAATGCAGCGAAGGAGCAAGCTCGAGCTGAGCAGTTGGATGCCATCCGCGAGGAGTTGAAGAGAGAATTTGATGGTGAGCTACAGCAGGCGGCTGATGAGCGTGCTACGGAGAAGCGTCGTTTAGAGATGGATCATGCTAAGATGTTGAAGAACCTCTGTGAGGAATTTCGCTAGGAGAAGGAGGACCTCGTCCGTGTGCATGAGGTGGCCAAGGTGCGACCGGAGAACCCCAGGGTTCGCTGGAATACTGCCACCCTGATCTAGCATGTTCAACGGTGGCTAATTGAAAAGCGATCGTTGGATCCAGACTCTGAACCGGAAGACGAGAAGGAGGAGGAGGAGGGTGGTGCGAGTACAGCAGAGAAGGTTGTAATAGATTAGAAAATTTTTCCTAAGTGTACTTGCGTTTTGTGTGTTTGGAACTAGACGGTAGTCTGCGCTCTCCCTGTTAAGAAATCCAAAGTCTAAGTATCTTCGTGTAATTCATGATTATTGCGGGCCACTTGCAACTATTATTGCTCTTTGATAACGTCGTATTTGCACATGTTGGCACCCTTATTTCTTAACCATTTTGGCTCGAATTTGTGTTTCCTTGATCTATTGTACGCTGGGCTTTGCTCTTTTTTCACATTTCAGGTCCTAATCATTAGAAGAAGGTCTAGGCGTGAGTTTTGGGTCATCTAAAGGTCATTCGGCAAAGCAGGGGTAGACACACGGGCAACTTTCCTTAAGAACACGACCGTGTTTCACCCGCAGGCACGCTTGTGTTTTTAGTGCGAAGGTGATGTCAAGACAAGAGAAGAACACGGGCGGCGTTTCCCTAAAACACGCCCATGTGGCCAGAAGGGCATTTCCCGTATTAATTTTGCAGCAGGTTGGTTCGCGGTAGCTACTAAAGATTTCGAAACACGGGCGAGTTGAGGCCAAAACACGGTTGGGTTCATCACATAGAACGACCATGTGTTTCAGAAGAGGTCGTGTAATCCCCCGCGGCCAGCTTAAGTTTTCCACGTGACAAATTCAAAACACGAGCGGAGTAAGAAAAACACGGATGTTTCCTTGATCATGTTTTTCCAGTGTCGAGTTAAACATGCTATTTCGAGCCGAAGAGAGGGGGAATAGAGTTTTCATAGTAAAAACAGAGTTTTAGAGAGAGAAATGACAAAGAATGAACCCTATGATCAATTTTTGGAGTTGGGTTTCACCATTCAAGCATGGATTTCGACCTTGGAGTGAAGATTTACATCCCAGAGCTTATCATATTCATCATTATGAGTACGATTTCTCTTATTTTTGTTTCCCTCTCTCTCTCTCTCTCTATGGAGTACTTTCTCACACTTGGGTATGAAGAACCCTAGTTCCATGTGTTAGGGATCTTGATTGTAATGTCTTTTGGGATGATATACTGATGGATTTTAATCGTTTGAAGTGTGCTTAGTGAGTCAATTAAATTCTTATAAACTTCTTTTGATTTATGCTTCAACCTGTGATAAATAGAATCTGAATAGGTTGTTAGAGCTTCTTCAATTGATAGGAGTGAATTGATTGTACGAGAGTCAGTCAATTCACTGTTTTGTACTGGAATTTGTTTCCAGTAGTGGAGTTATGTGTTTATTGCCTTAGCATTTTGTCCTAGTGAAGGCTAGTCGTCTGCCAGATAGTCTGTCTAAGAGGGCTTGGGCAGCTTAAGAGATTCCAAGCTATTTTCGAATCTCCCGTAGTCTAATCAACAGTGAATCAACCAAAGGGAACTACAACTTGAACCTAACTAAAGAGCTAGGTGGACTCATTCCCGAGTGAATCTTCTCTTGCTTTAAAAAACCAGACAATTTACTGCTTTCTTTTTGCTATAGTTTAAACTCATTTTCACTCGACTTTCCCCGCTAGATAATACATAATCATGGAGCAGGCAGTACATCTAGGCCTCGGGTTGACATTTTATTACTTGATTCCACCATACTGCATTTCTATTCTGCGATTACACTTGGTCGCAGTTTGGTGTTGTGTCCTAGCGAGCCAATTTTTTGCGTAGTTTTCAGGGACTCTAGATTATTGGAGAAACGTGAAATTCTGTTACTTTAGCATTCACTTTTCTGAATTTTCTCTCTTCCATCTGTGTGCCTTCATAGGTTGTGTTTGCAGTCTGTGTGCAGGTAGTGCATAACCCGTAGTCAGTCGGAAGATCTACTGCCATTGGACAAGGAGCTTGAAAGGACCTATCGTTACTTTAAGAGAGCTTTAAAGGCACGACTGGATGCGGAGTAAGCTCTAGCTCAGCTGAACATCAACTGGGAGGAGGAAATGGGTGAACCTACGCTGACGTGGCGATTGTCCCCGAGGAGCATACCATGGAATACTACTGGACCACCAGAGTCGTAGACATGAGGTCCCCCATCCAACACCCTCAAGTAGCTGCCAACAACTTTGAGATGAGCACCTCTATTATCGCCATGCTGTGAGGTTCAGTGGTGTTCTATGGGAAGACAGGAGAGTGCCCCCGAGCGCATCTGGGGCAATTCCATGAGCTAATTGATGGAATAAAGATTAATGGGGTCCCTCAAGATGCCATTCGGTTGCGTTACTTTCCTTTCACTTTGGAGGGACCGGCCAAGAAGTGGATGGACAGCCGGGCCCCGGGGTAAATCACGACATTCACCAATCTGGCCAATAAATTCTTGACCCGGTATCATTCGTCGACTAAGACAACAGACCTGTAGAAAGAGATTACACATTTTGCTCATGAGGAGGATGAACCCATTCGGGATGCTTGGGAGAAATACACCAGTCTCTTCCTGAATGTCTCAATCATAGTTTTAATGATGCCTTTAAGGTGGGCACCTTTTACCGCGCTCACTTCCCTGACAAGTAGTATTGACTCGGTCTGTGACGGGAACATGCTGACAAAGATGCCACCCCAGTTGAACCAACTCTTTGACAAAATGGCAGAGCAGAGCTATGATTGGGGGTCTGCTAGGAGGTTTAGGAGAGCACCAAGCCGGGGTGTGCATGCCGTGGACACCAAGTCATCTGAGTTGGTGCAGGTTGTCTCTAAACTGGTCATGCAACAGGATAAAATGGGATGATTTTCGGGACAGGAAAACAGCAGGCCATGCATTGCCAGTAGTGCGAGAGTAGCCACCACATGGTGGAAGACTGATAGGCGATGAGGGGGTCTACTACACCCCAAGAGCAGGTGGACTTCGTCAGCAATGCTCAGCGTTTCGACCCTTACAGCAATACATATAACGAGGGGTGGCGCCAACATCCTAACTTTTCTTGCGGTGGTAGTAATCTTAAGCCACCAGTCACCCAAGGACCACCTGGTTTCCAGCAACTCCCATACCATACCAGCCCGGGCAGGGACAGTTCTAGCAACAGCAGCCTCTTTATCCACCCAAACAGGGACAAGCACTTCCTCATTCGCAGCCGAGACCATTTCACTAGCCGGGCACAGTTTCTGCAACCTAGTGCAGCAGGATCTGATGGCTAAATTGAGGGATTTGGTGGGTTCTCTTTCCAGTTCCAATTCTCATAAATTCAAAAATATAGAGCAGTTCATGGATAAGGCTTCTAGCAAGTTCCTGGCTCTTGAAACTGGCTAGAGGAATACACTGGCTGTTTTGCAGGATATCCAGACCTAGTAGGGGAGTGTGGCTCAGGCACTAGCACAGAGGGCTCCAGGTACCTTACCTGGTCAGACCATTCCTCACCCGTAGGACCCAAATGAGCATTGCAAGGCCATCACAACCAGGAGTGGCAGGGCAACTGCTGACCCACCTGTTTGGGCCAGACAGGAGGAGGAGAGACTTGCTTCAACACTTCCAGCAAAGGAGGGCGAGTCATTCCCGAGTGACTCTTCTCTTGCTTTAGAAAGCCGGACAATTTACTACTTTCTTTCTGCTTTAGTTTCAACTCATTTTCACTCGACTTTCCCTGCTAGATAATAGATAGTCACAGAGTAGGCAGTACAGCTAGGCCTCGGGTTGACATTTATTACTTGATTCCATTATACTGCATTTCCATTCTGCAATTACACTTGGTCGCAGTTTGGTGTTGTGTCGTAGCGAGTCACTCTTATTTTTCTTTGCGCAATTCGTGATTGCGTGATTACTTTGCAATTAGTTTTGCTCTTTGTTTTTCTTTTGCATAGTTCATGATTGTGCGGTTACGTTGCAGTTTATTGTTCCGCACATAATGAACAAATTTAAATTAGGCTTGCCAATGTTGACGATGTCTTTGTTATTAATCTTTAACTGACGCAAGTACAATTTTATGATACATCAAGAAGCAGGATAGTATTTTCTAAGGTTTTGTGCATTCCAAGTCCTTGGAACTTTGGCTCCGCTTAACTCTCATAGCTTGAAATTATTAGCACCGATAACCTTGCAGATTAAGTACAATCCTTCCATGTGGATGCCAACTTGCCATGCTTAGGGTTTGAAGGAAAATTCTGCCTCAAGACTTGATCTCCCAATGTCAAATTGTGGGGGACTAGTTTCACGTTGTAGTATTTTGTGACCTGGTCCTGCAGCTGCTTCTAGTTTGATGGATGCTAACTCGCGTCGCTCATTTTCTAACTCCAGGATAATTAGCCGCGCTTCGTCGTTGTTCTCTTTGTCGAACATTGTGATTCGATATATGGGCGTCATTGTTTTGATGGGTATGACAACAGTTGTGCCGTAGGTCAGTGCGAATGGAGTTTCGCCTGTGGCTACCTTGAATGTAATGCGGTACGCTCACAGCAGCGTGTGCAGCTCTTCTGCCCAAGTGCATTTTTCCTTTCCGAGGCGGGCATGTAGACCATGTAGGATTGCTTTGTTCGCCGACTCTGCTTGACCGTTTTCTTGGGGGTATGCTATTGAGGCAAAGCGGGCTATTGTTCCCACATGATCACAAAAGTCAATCACTTCGGCACAATCAAATTGTTTCCCATGGTTGAATGAGCGAATTCGGGACTCTGAAGCGCGTCAGTAGATTATTCTTCAAGAAGCAAACTACTTGTTGTGTGGTGATTGACGCTAGTGCCTCTGCTTCAATCCACTTAGTGAAGTAGTCGAACGCTACAATGATGTACTTGCACTTGCTCTTTGCTGCTGGAAAGGGACCCAAGAGGTCCACTCTCCATTGCGCGAACGGCCACGAGCTCAAGTTGCATTAGAGTTTCACTGATGGTAAAAGGTGTTGTCGCACATTCACTTGGCACTTGTGGCACTAGTCTACGAATTTCTTTGTGTCTTTCTTGATTCTAGGCCAGTAGTATCCGTGCAATAAGATGATACGCTTCATGCTACTCGCATCATTGTGCATTGCGCATAGTCCCTTGTGCAAGTCATGCACTATCTTACGTGCTTCCGCCTGCCCGACGCATTTGAGGTATATGCCAAAGTGCGAACGCCAATGTAATTCGCCCCCGATGAGAGTGCAACGAACCGCTTTCTGCCTTACACTCCATGCTTCTTTTGTGTCCTCTTATATTGATCCGTCGAGTAAGTACTTTACAATCGGTGTCCGCCAGTCCTCTTCTTTCGCCACAAGTGTGTTGTTGACCATGGTAATTTGTTGGGTTTCTTGATCCTCTTTTTGTACTGAGACTATGTGTTCCAACTCAAAATATATGGTTGTCGCGAGTTTTGATAGTGGATCTGCGTGAAGATTTTCTTCTCTTGGTATTTGTACATATATCACTGCCTCAAAGGCGATTGCTCGTGCGCGAGTGTGTCTTCCTTTGCATCAAATACGCCATTCAGTTGGTTCACTGCTAACGCGTGATCAGATAATACTCTTATTATTTTTGCATCCAAGTCCCTGCAACCGCCAATCCTACTAAGATGGCTTCATACTTAGTAGCGTTGTTTGTTTTCAATATTTTGAAGTGGATTGCTATTTCGTGAATGGCTCCCGCGGGTGTGCGGACGACTACTCCTGCTCTGGCCCCATGTTTGCTTGCCACGCCATCGACTTTTACTTCCCAAATTCCTTTTGGCTTTGTGTCTAGAACTACCCCCTCGGTGATGAAATCCGCCAGTATTTGCGCCTTTATTGCTGATCTTGGCGCGTATTAGATATCGTATTCCGATAACTCGTCTACCCACTTGACCATCCGCCCTGAGACTTCCATTGAGCTCAGGATTTTCTTTAGTGGGAGATTTGTTAGGACAATGATCGAGTGTGCTTGAAAGTAAGGTCGTAGCTTTTGTGGCGCACTTACTAAGGCGAGGGCGGCCTTTACTATCGATGAGTATCTTGTTTCTGCGCTCAGCACCGTTCGAGATGTGTAGTATATTGGTTGTTTCATTTGAACCTCTCTTCTAGATATTAACACTGCGCTCACATCTCTGGTCGATACAGCCAAGTACAAGAACAACTTTTCATTAAGCTTAGGTGCGGTTAATACAGGAGGGGATACAAGATTCTAATTGAGCTCATTGAATGCGGCTCCACACTCTAGTGTCCATGCGAATTGGGTGCCGTTTTCAGAGTTTGGAAGAAAGCAGCGCACTTGTCAGCTGACCTCGATATGAACCTTCCAAGCGCGGCTAGCTTCCCATTCAGATATTGTATCTCCGTTGTGTTCCTGGGCATAGGTTTCTGTTGAGCTGCCGTCATTTGCTTGGCATCCACTTCGATGCCGCACTTGGTTATCATGAAACCCATGAATTTTCTTGCCTCAGCGCCGAATACACACTTAAGGGGGTTAAAATGAAGGCCATGTTGGCGGAGTGTCTCGAATGTTTCGCGGAGATCCTCCAAATGCGAGCGTCCTTCCTTGTTTTTAACAATGAGGTCGTTGATGTAGGCCTCGATGTTTCTTCCGATTTGACGTGAGAACACTAAGTCAATCATTTGTTGATATGTGACACCCGCGTTTTTTTAGCCCGAAGGGCATGCCCACAAAGTAGAAGTTGCCAATGACGTCATAAAAGATGTTTTCTCTTCTTATTCACGGTTCATCAGGATTTGGTGGTATCCCGAGAGCATGTCCAAAAAGCATAGTTTCTCATGGTCGGAAATGACGTCGATGAGTTGGTCGATGCATGATAGGGGGTAAGGGTCTCCCGGGCATACCTTGTTGATTGTCATATAGTCGACGCACATTCTCCATGCTCTGGAGGACTTCTTCACCAACACGACATTAGCTAGCCATGTCAGGTATTTCACCTCTTGTATCAGTCTCGCGGCAAGGATGTGTGCAACCTCTTCTTCGATGGCCTTTAGCTTCTCACCCTTGAAGCTACGACATGCTTGTTGTCGTGGTTCAGCGTTAATTGGCACCGCGAGAGTATGTCGCGCCACATGCCTTGGCACCCTGATATATCTTCAGTGCACCAAGCAAACAACTCTTTATATTCCAGCAGCAGCTGTACCGTTGGTTCGACCATGTCATTGTGGATATGAGTTGAAATGCGTACTTTTCTGGCTGGTTCCTTTGGATCCAGTGCGACTTCAAAATCCGAATCAATTGATTCTAGGTGCGGCTCCTCCGCTCGAGTGTCAATTATATTGGTTTGGCGGGTAGGTTGCGTTGTATTCTAGGGTAGCCCTCTTGATTCCCCGGTACCTGCCTTGGTAAGAAATTTGAGTTTCTGATGGCAAGTGCATCGTAGGGCCGTGAATTTGGCCAAGAACGGGCGGTCCAGAATGCCTTTATGGGGCGAGTCGCAATCGACGATAGTGAACTCGACCTATTTTTAAATGAGCGATTCTTAGTCTCCGACTATGACTAGTAGGGTGATCGCTCCTATTACTGCCACTCGCGCGCCGGAAAATTCCACAAAATTTCCCTGTGCATGTTTGATCATACGTGGATCGATGTCCATTTGGTATAGGGTGTGCTTGAACAAGATGTTCACGACGCTCCCCCCATCTATCAGCATGCGGTGAATTTTGCACGCGGCCACCAAAGCGGTTATGGTGAGTGGATCCTCTGATGGGATTACCTGAGGGAATTCTGAGTCGTCAAAACTCATGTCGCATTTGGGGGTGGTATTAATTGCCGCGCATTCCAATGCACGGTCGCTCTTTGTCTTCTTCTTCGGTCTGTCCCCCTCGATCGTCATAACACCTATTTCTTTGTGCACGACGTATGAGCCGGTGTTTTCATTTTAGTCGATTTGTGGCGGTGGCGGTATCGATTCGTGTTCCTTCCGCTCTTATTTCCTGCTGAAATATTCGGCCAAGTACCCTCTTCGGATGAACGCCTCGATTCAAGTCGAAGGTTGAAGAAATCCTCCGTCAGGTGGCCTGTTTCTTTGTGGAAATCACAATGTTTCCTGCGGTCGCGCATAAGGTGACACACGTTGGCCAGTTGAGACGGTAGCCTTTCTCACGTATAAGGTGACACACGTTCTTCACTGAGTCGTTGAGTGGGTGGGGGTGGGGGGGTAAAGGTGTTAGACGGATGTCTATCTGGGGAGCGTCTCCACGGTGTTGACTCTGGCAGGAGAAGTGGCCTCCTAGCTCCCTTGTGGTATTGTGCGAGTGGGAACAAGGGTTGCCTCCGTGTTTTCTCTTCTCTTCCTTGCCTTGTCGTCTCAAAACGTCGCATTGACCCCGAGCCCAGGGTCTATTCTAATGTGATGACTTTTACGATCTTGGTCTTAAGCTCAGATGACGACGCAACTGGTCTTTTTCTAATGAGTGCTTAAGTTCCATATTTGTGTTGGCTTCCATGAGATAATGGGCGGCAGTTTTGGTGGTTAAGTCTCGTACTGCCATGGCGATTCTTGACCATCTGGCGTAAAACTCTCGTAGACTTTCTCCATCCTTTTGTTTTATATCGATCAAGGCTTTGAGGTGGAGCGACCTTCGATTTTGCGAAGCAAACTTGGTCGTGAAGAGGAGTATGAATTCCTCAAAGGAGCGGATTATCCCGTTTGGGAGCCTGTTGTACCAATCTAGGCATATGCCCGCAAATGTGGAGGGGAAAGTTCTGCGCAAAGCCGCATTTGAATTTGTTTGGAGCTGCATTCGGAGGTAGAAGGTGCTGACATGGTCTTCTGGGTCCGTTGTCCAGTTGTATGTTGGGAGGGCCAGTGGGATTCTGTTGAGGTGTTCCGCCATGATTTCGACGAACAGTGGTTGGTGGAGGGTCACATTGGGTTGAGCGCGGTAGTGGGGATAGGTGTTACTCTAGGAAGTTGAGGTCTGCTCTTGCTGGTGGCTCTGCTCGTCGTTCACGAGGCTCAGAAACAAGTTGCCTTTCTACAAGCATCGGCGGCGCGGTCACCGCTGGTTGTACTGCTATTGTGGTGGTTTCTTTGCTCATCATGAGCGCGATGATCTAGTTCATCTTGTTTTTCATGTTTGCTATTACCTTGTTTTTCTCATCCATTTGCAGCACACCTCCTTGGTTGTTAGTTCCGGCTCTTCTTCGTCTAGTAATACCATGTTCAGATTGTTGGTTTTTGCGAACAGCCTTGGGTTCTTCATTGCTTTAACTGGCATCGCCTCGCTCGGGATGTCAGAAGCTTTTCCTGTCATTATCGTCTTAGTTTGTTGTTTTCTTTTCACTCCCGGCCCCACGTTGGTGCCAATTATTTGTGTCTAACTGAGTGTTGGAGTGAGACAATATTTATGGGGTGCGAGTGAAGTAGAAGATAAAACGTCTTTATACATAACACTTTTCAAGGTTACATGGGAGGATGCTAGAGAGGGAGGGAGAGACTCTAGAGAGTGTAGTTTCTTGTTTTTCTACAGAGAGAATCCAGAATCGATCCCCCCACCCACCAGGATAAATGCTATATTTATAGGCTACATTCTGGTTGGTGGGTTTCCAATATGACTTGACATTTGGAAAAGACAGAAAACTAGGTATGATGAAGTCTACAAGTGAGACGTGACGGTTTGTCAATGGAACGGTGATATCTGGATCTCCTTACTCGCGAGTAGTGTTGTTGCATGGACATCATTTATCTTGGTGACTAGCATGATTCTCCCCGCCGATCTATGACCGGGTGGTGCTCTTCGCACGAGCCCGTTCTTAGGTGCACCTTGTCTGGGTACTCGCGGATGATGTTTTTCGCGAGTATGAGGGTTTGGCCGTGCCTTGCCTTGGTATTTCCTGTCTTTATCAGGGTGATGAGTGTGTGATTGCTGGCGTAGCCAGACCCGAGTCATACCCCCGACAATAAGTAAAGCATATTGATGAGGAGGCAGGGGAAGGATGTGTATGCCCTATGTTGGATGATGATGTTAATGAAGCATTGTTTGTTATGGATCCTAGTAAAATTTCAGGACCAGATGATTGGATTGTCAATTTTTTCTAACAAAGTTGGTCGGTCATAGGGTTGGAGGTATCTGCAGCAGTCAGAATTTTTTTCACCAATAGCATGTTGTCTCAATGTATCAATGTTGCATCCATAACACTCTATACTAAGAGTATGTTGTCTAAATGTATCAATGCTTACAGAACAACTGAATTTAGGTCAATAGCATGTATTAATGTTCTCTATAAGACCATAGCTAAAGCGTTGGATAAAAGATCACAAAAAGTCTTACCTGGTTTGATAAGAAACAATCAATCTACATTTATAATATAAAAGGAAGAATCATTGTTGATAACATTCTAATGCTTAAGATATTGTACAAAACTATCATAGAAAAGCAATCACATCTAGATGCAGAGTGGAAGTAGACTTGATGAAAGGTCAAAATAGAAGATATATATATAGATATTGTAAGAAATTGACATAAAATGAGTCTAGAACAGGGCGGGGCGGGGCGGGTCGAAAGTAGGTTACCATGCCCCCGCCCCACATTACTGCGGGTCGGGTAATACCCGCCCCATCGCGGGTCAGGACTGGTAATACCTGCGGGGCCGGTTCAAATTGCCATCACTACCCTCGGTGTGCCAATTTCCAGCCCGGAGCACATTCTCATTTCTCACATGATGATTTCTCTTTCAAGCTTTGCGTTCTCCCTTCTCTCCATAGAGTAAACTCCATTTTCATCTTGGAATGAAGAACCCTAGTGTTGTACGTTAGGAATGGTTGTATGAACCCAGTTTGTGAATGATTGATTTGATATATACAATTGAGCCATTAATCATCATTGCATGAGTCCTGATCAAACTTTTGTGATTCCCACTTTAACCTAGAACGATAGCCTCTGCATAGGTTAATAGAGCAATCTTAATTGGAAGTAGTGGATCAATTACTTTAGTCGAAGAATCAATTCACTACTCTATACTGGAATTGAAACTAGTAGAGGAAGTTTGGTGTGTTATTGCCTCGATCAGTCTACGTCGGGGGAGGTTAGTCGCCTGTCAGGTATTCTAACTGAGAGGGTCTGTAATTCTTTAGTCGAGATTTCAGACTTGTCCAGAACATATTTGTCATTTGAACCGAATTGGGGGAATTATAATATGAACTAACTGCATTCTAGGGGGACTCATATGTGAATGACCTTTTGCATACTTGAAACCAGAACATTCCATGCTTTCTCTTTGTTTTTGCTTTTGATAATCTTCACTTAAACTGAACAGCTAGATAATATAGATGCAGGGAGTAGATAGTCAATCTAGGACCCGGGTTGACAAGTAAAACTGAACCCACTATACTACATATCTAGACTACGATTACACTTGGTCGTAGTTTGGTGTTGTGTTTTAGCGAGTCGCCATCCTCAATGCAAAGCAGTAGCTTTAACACACATTTGCTTTGTAGATGATTTGCTCATCTTTACAAAAGTATTAGGAGGATACTGGATGCTTTCTATCTTGTCTCTGGTCTTAGATGCAATTTCGTGAAATGTGAGATGTTCTTTGGAAATCTTTGGAGAGGTTAACGAAGTCATATTTTGGATTTAAGGAAGGGACATTACCAATGAGATATTTTGGACTTCTATTGCAGTATGGGGCCCTATCTAGTGATGGTTGTAGCTTACATGTGGATAAAATTACGAGCAGAATTAGATTATGGGTGATAACAACTAAATTGGTGTTATTTATTCCTCACATATATCTAGGTTCCTTCGGAGTCATTTTATGTGCATTATTATTGATATATTGTCAAATCTAGTCTTATCTTGTTCCTCAAAGTTTATATCATTATATTAGGGTGTATTATGCAATATATGCAAATTAGGTACCTGGCTCTCTACGACACAACTCCTAACAATGGCCAAGTGTAATCAATGAAAGGGACTGCAGTATATTGGCTCAAGTAATAAATATCGAATCCACGGGTCTCTAGAATTACAATTACTCAGCTTCGGTTCATTATCTAGCAAACTAGAGTAATATGGAAGAATTAAAACTACTCTAGCAAACTACAGTTAAAGTTAATCTAATTATAGGTTGGAAACTCACTTAGGTATGATTCCCTCTAGCCACTAGCCACTAGCCAGATTAATGATTGATGATCTCTAACCTGTTTCATTTTCATTCACAATGCGGAGAATCCTTGACTAGACCTTGAATCTCAGCTTAAGGATCAAGGCCCTCTTGAGTTGATTGCCTAGAGGGACATATCCTTCCCTAGAACAACTGATCAGGGCGTTCCGAACTAGACTCCCTCTATCGAATGAGGTTCTCAATCGATACAAAGCAGTGAATCGACCCTCGACCAAAGCAATCAATCCAATACTATCAATCTATGGTATTCCCTCTCATAAGATCAAAGCAAAATCAATAATCTCGACTAAAGCATAATTGAAAAATGAAAACATGCATAAATTGAATATGAACTCAAGATTATGAAGTAGGAGTACTCATACAATAATCCAATCAAACAAACATAGCTAAGGTTCCTAAAAAACCTAAGTGAAGGGAAGTTACTCCATAGAGAAGAGAGAGACTGCAATAAGAATCTTCAGATGTTTAGTCTTCAAGTCCAGGCTTGTTCCTCGAGCTTCCAAGGCGAAGAAATCCCTCAATTCCACTCCAAGATTGCCCTCAAATCGCCCTCTCTCTTTGGTTCGCCCCTTGGGTGTTTGGGAACCAAAACCCAGCTCTCCCCCTCCAAACAAACACAAAAGAGGCTTTTAACAGCCTACATTCTCGAAATCCGGTCCAAGTACCCGGTCGGGTATTTAGGGAACCGGTCGGGTATCAACAAAATGCACCGCGTCACTTTTCTGGGCAAAAGGGAAAATACCCGGTCGGGTAATTTTGGTTCACGACCGGGGGGCCTTCTGATTCTGCCAAAAATACCCTATCGGATGTTAAAAATACCCGCTATTTTGACCGGATATTTCACAATTTTGGGTCCCTTGTCTTTGATTCTTCGTTTCTCCCTCGTTCGGACTCCAAAATCAGGTGTCGTTTGATCCCAGACGCTCGTAGTCTCGTCCTATTTCTTCTCATGACGAGTTTGTATGATTCTATGGTCACTAAATGAGGTAGAAATCCATTA